TCCTAACACAGAGGACATCCTCCACATATGGTTGAGGGAGCCTGGCTCCAATACTAATCTGGTCCCACTGTTTATAAAATAAACAGTCCCACGAACACTAACCTACAGCCTGCCCAGTCTCCCCACTCCTGCACCCTCAACTCTGCATCTGGATGACCTCTGACCTGGACTGTTTGAACTGTGCTTCCTGTCCGACACGATGTGACTATAGCATAATGGCAAAATCTGTACTGTAGGCACTTTTCATGCACCGGTGGAGGGGATTACCAACATATCCTCATGGAGATGGCACATGTGGCCCTCCCACACATGATTAAAATAGGGATGCAGTCCAGAACTTTGTCTCACACCAATATCAATCATAAAAGTCAAAAAACAAGTTTTTAATTAAAAAAGAAAAAGGTGTTTTCAGGATATGGATGCGAGGTTAAAAACGTGCAAGTAAGCATGCATTTTGATAAAGCTCTTTATTTATTGGTGTTAAATGAGTCCTAATTGGGAAACCTTTGCCTGTAAAGACAACACCACTACTTTTTCAAAACAAGGCTGTTCATGCAGACATCCACACACAGACACCCCCGCCCTCTCTTGCTCGGAGCCCTGAGCCTGCTAGGCTCACTGGTGGTGGAATGAGACGAGATAAGCCCATGGTTGGCCTCCATCAACACATGAGGCTTTCCAAAGCGAGTAGTGTTACAGACAGGCGCTCCTCTGGGGCTCAGTGGGAGTGGGAGTGGACTGGGCTGCTCAGACATTAGTAGGTAGCTAATCTGCCTCCAGCCAGCTTGCTGATGCCCACCATCTGTGTCTCTAACTCATCACCCACAGGCCAGGAGGCTCTGCAGGCACAAACACAAGTAAACAAACATCCAGAGAGAGCCATTTAAGAGCCAATTCTCTACCTGGCTCGGTTAATTACTGATTATCAGCGCCACCCAAAAAGCAGAGGACGGGAGCCAGTGATGAGGGGTAAGGGGGGTAAGGAGGAGGCAACTGTGAACAGGGGCACATTAACTTCACTTTGCTTCATCATCATCCTCATTACACAGGGAATTTGCGTCAGACATAACTGCAAAACAGCTCAATCAGGGATCAAGGGTATAAAACAAACTATTGCGACAGACTTAATTACCACCAGCCGCGAAAAAGTCAGAAGACTCGAGGAGTGTCGGGAAAAATGTTGCCGCCGGTTATGCTTCATTTACTTGACGAGACTTCACAGTCATAATTGTAAATGCCCCTGGCACTACTGATCAAGGGGATGTAGAGGGTTAAGAGGTCAGGAGGATGGGTGCAGGGGTGGGGGAAACTGACGGAGATTAACTGAACTGAAACTCCTCAAGGAGTATGACAGCCACACAGGTGCGCTGCACTTACCCCCCAAGTCACCCCCACACAACCGTCATTTGGGCCCAAAATGTCCTGTGGGTGTAGCAGACGGGTGATTAGCAGATACAATTACTATGCCTCACTTACCTTTTAGCCACTGACCCGTATGTTCAAATGTGACTCTAAGCTTTTTAGAAAGGGCTCCTTTGTGTTTCAGTGCAAAGAAGAACATCATCTAAAAGTTTGCAGAGTGAATTATTTGGTCATTTTTACCATAATTTCAGTAATTGCTAATTTCACCTCTAATCTATCACTTGAGTTCCTTGTTCCTTAATGTATTCTTTCAAAGTCACGTGCACTGTCTTAACCAAATAACCTCAAATGGTTTTAGTTTTTTTAACCCAAACCCCCACCACCACCAACACCACTAATCATACAGTCCCTAAAGCAGTGCAGCACGTCCACTGGGAGTAACTGCAATGAGAACTGTGATGACATTTAAAGCACTTGCTAAATGCACCCATGTGAATTTTGGGGTGTTATTCTGCGGTAACATTACCCTGTAAGTATTATCCATATCTGTAGCCACCAAATCTCTAAATACAAGCAGAATTATACAATGGAAACGCTGCAAGTGCCAAAACCGCATTTTAATTTTTCTGGCAAGACTCGGCTTTCTATGTGACAGGAAGGCTGAACCTCCAGGCACTGCTCCAGACTGAAAACATTAACACTCATTCATGGGATTATTTAACAGTAGTCTGTATTTAGGATGGTCCAAAATACCACACTGGAGCCAAAAGATGGAAAATATTTGCAAAGCTATGTCTCGATAGCAGGATTTAAAGTTTCCATCCAGAAGAAATGTGCAGCACCAGGGAATAGACTCAAGGTGATTTTTACTAATAACATGCTACATTACAGGGGGAAAAAAGGGTGAGTAATGCCATAATGCTGCAAGAGGAAGATAAAAGTGAGGGCTTTTTCCTTTGGCTAATGAACACAAGAGGTCCACACAGAAAAACCAACACAAGGATGATTCAATTATCCAACTACTAGCTAAGGAATCCCCCTCCTTTGTAAATACCTCTTGCACAAAGAGTAATGTTTTCCCTTGGTGCAATAAATAACTTTTTATTCCCACTGCCACGGAAAGTTCACCTGCACAGACAATCACAGCGTCTGCCCTCATATTTGTTACTGCGGCCTTTTAATTTGACCTGAACCTGCCTGTCATGGTCCATCAAACGTGGGAATCGGATACCTTAGGAACACAGGCGCCTTTGCTTTGCGTTATGGCCCGCCACCACCTCCCAGAGCCCTAACACATTGATTCTGGGAGGAGAGAGAAAGTCACCCGCATCACATGAATCAAGCACTGTGACAGGGGTCCGTTAGGTCTGGGATCACACGGAGGATCACAAGTCTCTCTTTTTATTTCTCTCTCTCTCCCATCTGTATTAGCTGGGGATGAGAGGCGCGGGATGCCCCTCTAAAGGCATATATTTCCGTTGATGAAGAGATAAATCAGATCATTTCTGGAGTAAGGAAGGGAGCACAGAGAGAGCCTTCTTGGTCATTCCCCTTTGAGATGTAAATAGCACGGTGGCACTGAAAGAGGGCCAGGTGTCTGATGCAAAGAGGGAAAGCGTGACGGTGCATGCATTCCTCAGGGACCTAGAACATTAACTGTTGCTGTGCCTTATGCGGGTCAACATCAGCAGATTCTATAATGGTCCATAATGGCCTTGCTGGAGTAACACAATCAGAACAAGTACCCTGTCTCCAGCAAAATTTTAATCATGTCTACACATGTGTGCATTGATATTTAAACAATAAGAAACTTAAAGTTTCCCACTTATGAGGAACCGCTGCATTCTGCTAAAAACTACACTAAACCTTGAAGACCAGAGGTCAACAGCTGCAGGTCACACCTTGCTGGATGATTAAAAATGAGTTAGCACGCTTTTTGAGGTCATCAAGACAACAATTTGACAACTCTTTAGAGCCTGGGGGAAAAAAAACCTTCAAATGCCCTACACCTTAAGGTGAAGGAAAGAGGTCAAACTGTGAATTAAGAAAAGAATGGCACCCTGTTATTAGACTTAAGAGGGGGCCTGAGTCAGTCAAGCTGCTGAGAAAGCCTGACAGGAGAAGGGTCGAATATGCTGGACATACATTCCTACAGTGGCTTTACAATCTTTCTTTCTTCATACTTAGACAAATAGACAACAAACCACAGACTCCCAATTGATAAGATTTTGTACCACACTGTTGTATCTGAGATGTCAGGGTTGACATAATGCAGAATAACATCGTTATAGGAAAGGAAATTCATCACTGGGGGGGATAAATCATCATATAACATTAACACTATGCCAGATTAAATGTAGTTTATCTTTATTGTTTAAAAGCCTCCTTAAAAACCATTCCAGTTCAACCAGGAAACTTCTGCTTAAGCACACTTTCATCCAGTATAACTCCAAAATTTGTCTTTTGGTTTTTAAATATATATTTTTTGTATTCCTTTTTTGCAAAATCTTGATATCAATCTCCTATATTTACTTTTTATGTAGCGTAGTTTACATTACATACTGGAAACCTGAGGAAACAGCTAGCCTGACTCTATTAAAAGCAACAGAATAAACTTACCAGCATGTCTTTCACTACTAAATGCCTCGAAGCCCCTCATGGCAGTGTTTTGGGGGAAATAACAAGAAAAAACACAAAACATACCATTAACTACACTAGCATTTTTAAGCTAAGCTAACAGGCTGCTTCGCAGTTACACATTTAGCATAACCACACTGACCTTCAGAAAGAAAACAAATACACTGTAGCAAAAATAAAAACATACAGACAGCCAAAAATAAAATAATAATAGTAATTTATGTAAAATATTTGGTACGTGTGAACTATTACTTACCCAGTGTCATTCGGAATTGTGCTGCCTTTAGGGGAAAGTGAGGAAGTCAGGTGTGATGCCCAAAAAGTTGTAAATTAGTTGTAAATGACTTGTTGGTCTATAGTCTGTTAAACATATGTATAACATAGCTTTCATGAATGACATCAAGCCAGAATTAAAGATATTTTAAGTGGCCAAAAAGGACTGGATTGATCACAGTCATACTGTAGGTACAAGTCATGTCTTGACCGGTTGACTACAGTCCATTTACCAATATAAACACACAGAAACATCATAAATCACTTTTTGGCACCCTGGCCTAAAAACCTGCCAAATCAAACATACTAAGCTGCCCGTTTCCACAACTGAAGAATTTATTTTGGTTATCCATAAAGCATGGATCTCAAAATTTCAGCTTACACAGAAATAACTCAGACGTGTAACAGTAAGTTGAAATTTTTATGTAAACTGAAATGCACTTAGCTTTGCTAGGCAGATAAAAAACAAAACAAAAGACAACTTACTAATAAACGATAATTTGGCCAACTTCTTAAAACACACCCAAGAACTTTTTGGTTCATTGTTTTTGAATCATTCTGTGAAATAAAATCAGTGGCCTATAGGCATGTACATCAACTGTTCTTTTAAAAAAAAAAAAAAAAAAATCGTATATAACAAGGTTTTTTTCCCCACTTTTCCCATTGATTTGAAGGCTTTTTCTCTCCCATATACAATGTCCCCGACGTAAAACAAACAGCAGTCAATACCTGGTTGTAGAACAAATTTATTCATAAGTAGAGCTGTCACACCACTCTCAAACGTGGCATTTTTGAAAGAAATGTAACGCAAAACAGTATTTAATGTAACAATTGACCTTGTGCTGGTGCAGCATTAAGAAAAAACAAAAGAAAAAAAGTGGAATTAATGGAGACATCTTGGATCGCACAGGGCATTCAGCTTGTCACTCACATACAGGCAAACTTCTCATTTCCAAGAGATGACTCTGGTCCGCCATCTGCTGGTGAACATGGGACATTACATACAAACAGGTCTAAAGATCCCAGCGTTTAATAACAATCTAGATTGACAGCAATCATATATGCAACACAGCCACTTATCTGCAAGACTAAAACTTATGCCACGGGAGTTCTGGAGAGGATCTCCTTTTTAAAACCTAGTAGCAACAGTAACACTTTTAGAGTGAGAAAAAGCATTTTAGTGGCAAAGGTTCCCCTGAAATTTTTTTTTCCCCCCTAGTGTTACAAATGCTGATCAAAAAAAAAAAAGAAAAAAATATATATATACACCGTCTTTGACTGCAAATGACATACATAGCTACCTCTGTAGTATCTGTAACTGCATGACAAAAAATATAGCAGTATACACTTGAAAATACAGTTCATTACATATTTTTTTTATATCGTATGTACACAAAGAGCATTAAATTAAAATATGAGTGAAATGTGAGGATTTGCGGCACAAGCAACTAAACTATTGCATAAGGGGAGAGTGATCGCTTGATAAATGTCATCTTTTTATATCCCCGCTGCGTTTTATAACTGAGCTGAGCACGCGCTTTATTAGCAAAGACTCTTTTAATATTAGTTATGCACAAACACATTTAAGACACGTGCACTTGTGTTTGTCAAGACTCCCTTTACCATTGTATTGATAGTTGAGGAAGACTAGGAATGCCACCAAAATAAGACTGTGGTGTTTTGCAGGGGAAAAAAAAAAGAAAAGACAAAGAGCCTCACAATCCATGCATGCTACCGCATTTCCCCCCAAAAATACAAACAGCTACAGAAATCCCAGTAAATCCTTAAATCCCGTGATCCCTCGTGACTGCACAGAAAATGAGCCTGGTCACATGCAGGGGTCGTAGATCGTCTCAGAGTAACAGTCTTAATTTGCTTTGGAAGCTCTAGCAAAAAACAAACAAACACCCAAAATACAAAAATGAATCCAACACCTTCATGGTTTCACATATCCAAATAGGCCTTAAGCAGAGCCAAAAGGAAGGTCAGCGCCATTAGGTGATTTGCTTCGTGTGCACAAACACAATCAGGCAGATTTGCATTGGGTAAGAGGTGGTCTTTAAAATGATTAGCTTTTAAGAAGGCAGGAATGTGTCATACAGTGAGGAAAGTCCAGTGTTCTCCACTCTGCTGCCTGGGAATGACTGGTGAGCCGAAGTGGCTGGAAGTGCCTCACACAGTGAGAAGAGGAGCTTATACACAGCTAAACAGCAGTTCAACTGATTCAGGAAAAACAAAGAGATGTTTTTGTTTGTTTTGCATAGCAGGACACGGACACACACGGACACACACACGCCTATTACTCCATGTTTTAAATTGTATTTAAATAACTCGCGCTTGTTGGAAAAGACTTCCTTACTTTCGCCACTTCAGTCACTAAATTTAATGCAATTTTTCACTGTGAGAGACAATGTAATCTCAACTTCAGAGAAGTACACTTGTACCTCCTCCCAATTTTACTGAATCCCATCCTCGCTGTGGTTGCCTCTCCTAAGAGCATTTATAGCTGCAAGGCTGCCCTCTAGTGGAAACCCCCCCCAAAAATGAAATACAAAGACTTGAGAGGCTGAAATGTGTGGCGCGTGCATCAGGAGTTTACATCCTGTGCTGCATATTATTACAAGAAAACTTGAGTGAAAACGCATAAACTGCAAGAATTCCGGCACCTTATTAAGATTACCGAACACTTGAAATACACTGCCCTCAGTAAAGCAGTAACTTGTCTCCCTTCTAAAAAAAAAACAATACTAAGACTTATGGTCTAAATAAGAGAATCAAGCATTAAGAGGAAGCATCCGTCAGCTCTGTAGTGACAAATGGCAAAAGCATTTAAGTAGTTTTATACATGGTAAAGGTGCTTTAGTGTATGCTGTTAATATCAAAGGCAAACTTGTGTGGAAATGAGCAAATGCATACAAAGTAGTCCGATATTAGAAAAAAAAAAGGGTTATGCTGGCCACTCAGAGACTTCGGCAAGGCTGGCTGGCTGTTGACGGAAGAGTGCTGGTGCTTTGTCCACACCCACTCACCCACACACACTTTCAGAGCTACAAGTATGTGTCCTGCTCTGTGCTGCTGAGGCTTTGTGTAGATCGCTGAAGAGTAGATTCTTTGGCAGAGGGGAGGTCTGTAGGAGGTGTTTTCTGCTCTCCAGCTGAGTCCGTTTCAGTCTGCGCCGCGGCCTCTGGCGTCACACTGTTGCCTGGAGGCGGGGCAGGCGGTTCTGTGGATGACGATTGAGGGTCGCTGAGAAGAGGGTAAGGATTGGGAATCTCCTCTGTGGGCTGGGATTTTTTCATGCTCTTCTTTTTCTTACTCTTCTTCTCCTCCTTGCCCTTCTGCAGCTGTGGGGTAGTCTGAGGCACTTCAAGTACAATGGTGGGGTTCTGCTGCAGGTCCTGGCGCCTGGGTGGCTCAGCCAGCATGATGATCCGAGCTCCGTGCATTCTCGGAGGCGGTTTGAAATTGAGCTCCCCGCGGTTCTTCTTCCAGCGCTTGAGCTGGATGTGATGCTCTCGTTCCACGTCTCGCGCCGTCACCGGCACCTCGAGAATCTGCAAAAGGAAAAATCAAGTCACCCGGTCACTGCTGTGCTCACATGTTCCTTCCATGACTGGCCATTGTACTGAGACTGTGAACTTTGTCTGCAAATGCCAAATGACCGCCACACACAGTCAAGCCGGCGCTACATATAACAGGGGGTATTGTTTGGGAAGACAGACCCTCACACAAAGCTCGATACAAGGAACCAGACACCAGGCAGCCAGCACTCTGGTCAATTTGTCTGTGTGTCACTTTAATTCACTCTCTCAGACTCACTGGTCTGAGAGAGGACTTGTAGGAGCATTTATTGTTCCCTCTAACTCCTCCCTCACAATATGACACAATGCTGTTTACATCACTGCCGGATAATCAGAAACGACTTCTCAATAACAAAGTCAGATCACTTGTTTAGAACACATTGATATCAGCAAAGTAAAATAAACTGTTTTTAAATCATATTTTCCTTGATTCTTATCGTCTCGTTAAAGTAAATAGGTAACTGGGTAGCCTCACATAACTAGGTAACTCATGTGATGAGAAGCATGATATCTGGGATGTAGTTCCTCCTTGAAAGAGCAAACTAAAGGATAACTAGAGACCATCTTTAGGCATCTATACGACTCGCTGCTAGTGCAATACCTTCAGTTTTTCGAGACAGTTACCACATTCAACTCTAGGCCTGGATTACACTTCTACTAGCTGCAGATCAAAGATCAGCATCACTGGCAGGACACCGAGGACTTTGCTCATGGACATTTCAGCCTGAAGGCAAAGCAATCTGGGAAAAAAAACCCTTACCTCTCGAACGAGGAAACCCTCCTGCATGTATCGAGGCTCTATCGCCCTGAGAAGCTCCATGGTCTCATACTGGCCTTGGCAGGCCTTAAGCTTCTCACGAGTTCCCAACATGCACTTGAGTAGCACCAAGCCCACTCGGAAAATTATCTTCACTCCTAAAAGGAGGAAGAAGGAGCCGATGAGTCAATTTCAGAGTAAAGAGGCTCTATGAGGCACCGCTGCAGATACATACCATCGCAGAGGAACATGTCCCAGACGCGCAGCACCGATGCCCAGGGTAGGGTTCTGGAGAAGGCACACATAAACCATTCAGTCATGTAGAGGATGGGGTCGATCTTATGTTTCTCCAGATGCCGGAAGGCTGGAGGGGAGACGCGTCGCAGCAGGGCGAAGAGTATCTCTCCATCTAACTGTATAGCTTCCTGAAAGAGGGAGCGGTGGGACACTCTAAACAAAAAACGTATTGTACTCTGCATTGCTGGTGCTGAAATGAGATATGCACATACACGCTCATCTATTAAATTAAACCAGTCCTTATTTCTACACATTGTTTTCCCATTATGCACGACTACCCAGATTTTGCACTTATGAGGAAACATTTAATTAGCAAACCTTCTTTCGTAACATGGAATTCATAACTGCAACAGAAACCAAGAGGAGGCAATTATTACGCAAGAAAGTTTACTCAAACAGCTTACTGAGAAAACAAGTCTGTAAACAGCCCACTGCCTTCATCAGAAAACCATAACCACAGTGCCACTGCGTCACACACACACTGTGGGAAACAAAATACACATTCTAGTTTTGCTAAGCAAAAGGCCTACAAGTAGGTGTGCACAGCTCTGGTAGCAGTGAAGTCAACTGAGGCTATATTCTCTTTGCATTTCCAACACTGAGCCATGTCATCATGAACGCTTTCAAGTGTTTCAGTCTCACCAGGCCGGGACTGTAGTAACCAGGAAGATACTTCTCACAGATCTGGACCAGCCCCCAGAAAGCATCCTGTAGAATCACACACACATACACACAATGTAAGGGTAGTTCTTTGTTATACTTAGAGAGGCATTCCAGGGGTCACAGAGAATCTGGAAAACATTAGAAATGTTCTCTTAAATACAAGATTTTCCCTTATGAAGCACGTGGGCCCCCTTAGGACACTGGCCAAGTTGGTGTGTATAGTGCTATTGTGTCACACAGTGTGGTGTCGAACCAAAATCCTTTCCCAAGCAACTATCCACAATAAAAAGCCATCTTTGCAACACCCCGGACACTTATTTAGCGGGTTATTTTTTATGCTTTACCTAATTTACTTAATTGAAATGCTCACCAGGATAGAAAACTGCATGTATATATAACCACCACATACATCTGATAAATCCACTTCAAAGTCTGCGCTCTCTCATATGTCTGAAGTTCATACTTTAGGTTGTGATGATGCAGTGCCTTACGCGTGGAGAATTTTCCTTCAACATATTAATTGCTTAGTGCTTTTAATGACAACAAGACTTTCCTCAAACTGAGTGTGTCTAAAAATCACACACCATGTCTAACAAAGCTAAACTGAATAAGTGGAATTCATGATTCCATTAGCTGATACTCTGACATACATGCAGAGACTTAATCTGTGGAATGATAGGATTTTTTCCAGCGATGCTATCTGCCTCATTTTTTAGTTCAAAATTTCCAAACCCTTTTACAGTCACCTTGGCTGCTATCATAATCTCAAATTCGATGTATTATTTATACTATGGAGCAGCTCTGGAAATCATCTACAGATTACATCATTTGTACACTCAGTCCCTCTGCAGTTCAGCTCAAAAATACTTTCCCGAGGTCACAAACTAAAACTGAGCCTTACAAAATAAAAGAAACAGCACTATTTCTATTTTTAGTGTGGATTTTAGTTTTAAAGACCATAACAAGTCTTCAAGTGTTCAGATCATCCACACCAAAGGACATAATTTATATGGTGAGTGATGGTGTGTGTTTGTATTGAAGGCAATTCGTACCTCAGCAGGCATGTGCATAAGCAGCACTGCAGCAATAGGAGCCTGGGCCTGGCAGTATCCCTCCTCTGGTCTGTAGAGAGTATAAGCCTTAAGAACACGGAACAGGTCCTTCTGCCTGCACACACACACACAAACATCCAACATTTTAGCATATTCAAACAAGATGCAGTAAACAACTCCCGTGTTGCACGTCACATTGTGGTAGACTGCTCACCCGTGTCCTCCCCGTGACACAAACATCTCGTGAAAAGGAAACTGTCGATGGAGGTCTTTCTCAATTACATCAAGCCATTTGGGGTCTCCCGGCTGGCTATCCAGCTCCTGACAAAAAGAGCATGGGGGACATGAGAGTGAGATCTATTTGTGATACGGTATAAGTGATTACACTGTCTTTAAGTAGGAAGACTACAAACCCCTGATTCTTTTTTTATAGGATTTAGTGATCTCAGCAATAAATTAAGTTATTCATTCATTATAAAGGTCAATGAATTGTCTAACCACTGCATGAGCAGAGGCTAGTTTTAAACTTTATATTTGAAAAGATTCAAGATCTGCATCATTATTCATTTGATGCTAGCGTGCATTTTGAACACTTAACCTGAATAGAAAACAAACCAAAAAAAAAAAAGATCAATAATAAAAACTGCCATTGCTCCAGCTCTTTGGTAAAAATATCTGGGTTCTCACTCAAATGAGTAATGCTTGTGGATGACCACACTTTCAGTACCAATTTCAAATGAAATTTAAAAATGAAATGAGCTCAAAGTAGAGTTTAAGCATGTGAGGAGGAAGTGAAAGAGGAAGCCGCCGGACCTGAAACTTTCCTTGGTTCTGCTCTCTCTTCACCTTCCCACCAGACAGGTAGAGCCATGCACGGCCTCTGAGGGCAGGAGGAATTCCTTTCTGGCACCGCAGCCTCACCTGAGTCACAGAACGAAAAGGTTTTCCAAATAAAGCAATATACCAAAGGACCATGGGAGAATGTAGCTTGAGAAAAGCTAAGAGAGGCAATCTGGTGCGCAGATACAGCAAATGGTTTTCATCAGAGAGCTGCCACTGGTATTTGTTCCCTTTTTTTGAATAAGTGTAGTTTTGTACTTAGAAACTAACAGCTTACACTTAGGATGCATTGACTTGCAGCACTGCATGCACTCTAAAAACTCTTACAACCCAGTGAGTTGACTTCCTTCTTTTCAGCAATGAAAATGGCCAGTTACTACTTATCTAGATCACCAATTTATTTGGCATATGCAAGATCAGAATTCAATCAAAGATGAGCCAAAATTTGGGGATATTCTAACATCTGAGTCTCTTATTAGAGCTTCAGTTATACATGTAACATTAAAAACATGCCACGTGATTTATATCTTCAGGATGCAGAAAACAAAACTTTATCTCCAAGGGGGCGATTACTTAAGGTGCATAGAAACATAAACAGAAGTCATACACAAACACTCTACCACCTGTGACTCAGGGAGTAGAGCGGGTCGTCTTCTTATCGGAACGTCAGACTCCTCCAGTGTGCGTGCTGGAGGAGTATCTTGGGCAAGATACCGAACCCCAAAATGATCTAAAGGCATCCAGCAGCGTGCGAGTGTGTGGAAGGGATAGGCATAGAAAAAAGCTTGTTGCTGCAACTGTAGGAAGAACATTATGACCTTCAAAAGGCCCAAAATATACTAAAATGAATGCTGCAAAACATCACGTTGATAAAATTTGATCTCAACTCGTGCCATCTCTCCAAGTTGAGGCTTTGCAATCTTTCAGCGGGAATCACAAACAGGTGTTGTCGCAACAGATTAGCTGACCCGACCTTCACATTTGAGTCCTCTTGAGACTTTTGACTTGACTTGCGTTACCCTTTCTGAGCACATTTGTTTGCTCTAAAGCAAAGCTGGCACACTTCCTCAAGAACATTACAGTTCTTACTGTACAATTATTATCAATCATGGGGGCACAATAAAGGATTAGAAACCCTGACCTTTATTAGTACATGTACAGCGAGAAAAGGAACACTTCTCGCCGCTAAATTAGCCGTTTCTGTCATGTACTGAGCCACTTTTTTTTATTCCTTTTGAAAGAGAATCATTTTATATGAAGCCAGTACAATCCCATGCTGAATCTGAAACCGTCAATTTGTCATACAGTATATGCAGTGATACAGGGACGGGGTTGTGTCCTGGCTTGCTGCCGCCGATTCATGGGTGTGAGGTTAAGTTGCAGCTTTACGTCGATTCGCTGAGAGCATTTCACACAGAACCAGCTAGACAAGCGAAGCTGCAAAACAAAGTGTATACAAAGTCTGGTCCTTGTGCAATCATTTAATGATACCGTTTGCTTTGTTTGATAATGTGTAAGAGTACCTGTGAGGGGGGGGGGGGCGACAAAAACTTCCTAGGAACGACACAATACAATTCAGCAAACCACCTTCAGGAACTCTTTAAAAGAAACTGATCTGGTGAACTTCACATGGCTAACACCATGGAAGGCATACAACCAAGCCACATGTTTTATGTAACTGATTTAACACCTGGTGCTGACCTTATTGAATCGCTTGATCATCCACTTGTCCCAGTGGCTCAGCATGTCCAGCCACTTCACCTCTCTTTGCCTGAGCACCGCTGGAGGTATATCCTGAGCTCTGGTTACACAACAGGAGGGGAAAAAATTACAAAGCTCAAATCATTTTTTGCGCTTTTTTGCTTGAAATGACAGCAAAAGACACATCTTCTCTTCTTTTAGCACAGAAGTAATTAGACAGGTGACAAAAGTTTGCTTGTTTTTGCAATAAGGCAAGTCTGAAATAAGCCTCCAAATTGGCCCAAGCTTTAAAAAGAAAACAATCTCACAAAGACAGTTTATCGTTCTGCATCTGCCATCAGATCTGTGTGTGTGGCCATCACTCATTTGCAGTCAGCGAACTATAAAAGATACAAACTCAAGACCTATTTAATGTCAAAGCTCTCTGATCTGAAAGAGCTGCAGTCAGGATAATTTAACAGTAAAATATTTACAGGCAAGGAGGGAGGGGGGAGTCAAGGACTTTACATTATATTCTCAAACAGAAAAAGAAAACGTAAGCAAGTATAACCTACATTAGGAATCGTGGTCTGATGCTTTACTATGGTATGTAATTATCTCATCGGCACAAGCCTGTAATTGTAGGGCTGAAACGTCTTCAAAGAGCTCTTCTTATTTAAGACAGACCTCTTCTGGTAACAAAGTGCAGCCTATGTGTTGTAGATCAGTGCAAGACTATACTGCAGCTTCAGCTCCCAGAGCCTTCAAACAATAAAGAGATACATTTGTTGCCAAACAGTACAAGCTAAACACTGACTATCTACAGAGCTGAGCCAAAAGAGGCCCTCAGCTAAAGAGGCACCAAGAGCTGCGGCTCCAAGCCTGCCAAAACTCTACAAGACAGGAAACTCCCAGCCAGCCGGTGCTTGCCATAACTTTCACCCACTCCTTCCACTGTTTCACTGCTGTCATGCAGGCTTTAGACCCAGCACAAAAAGAAAAACGAAATAGATTTCTTACAAAAGAAGGTAAAGAAACTGATCTAAACTGTATTGCCAAAAGGCCAGAGATAAATTAAATCCAAGCATGACACAGACAGCCAGAAGTGCTCGGTCAGCACCCCCCCACAACCACCACCACCACCGCAAAAAACTGTGACAGACTAAAAGAAAAACAATTTAACATTACATGGCAGAAATAAGAAGATTAATACGACTCATTTAATCCTCATCTACGCGTTTGCTGCTTGTGTTGACTGTGGCAAACAGAAGGTAATAAAAAAAAAAAGAAAGGAAAAAATAGAAACAACACGGTGCCACGCAGCTGGTTGGGAGCTCTGTTTGTCGGAGGCACATAACAACACCTGCACAACTTGTCATCACAACTAATGCACAACAGTAGGCTGCAAATTTACTACCTATTATTATTATCATCATTATCATTAAGCATGGCAAAACAACACAGATGGCCTCAGAGTTAAAGGAAACTTACGTGTCCTCTGAGTACTTCTGCGCCCCACCAATAAATCCATATTTATCCGTCTGCCTTTCGCTGGCGAAGCCGTTGATCTCCGAGTCGGATCCCAAGGAGCTTTCGTCGTCAATGTGACTGCTGCTAAGAGTCCTGATGCTCCCCGTGTCCACAGATCGACGGCCGTTTTCCATTTTGTCCATGGTAGCATAAGAAGAAGAAAAAAAAAACTAGCCTTCTAGCTGGGACAGCTAACGTCAGCGAGGTTGTGGACAACCCAGAGTCAAATCTGCTCCTGTGCATACGCTGTCGAGTCAAACTGCACCGACGCCATGATTTCTGGGCGCGAGTTAAACTTTCCAACCGCTGTTTTGTCCGTAAATCTTTTCTAAGGGTGCGTTCCAACCGCTGGGTCACATTAAACTGGTTATGCTTGAGTTAACTTGAATGGGTTTTCCCCCAGTTTTAACATTAGCCAGCTAACTCTGCGTTGCTAACGTACTAAAAGTTAGCCTTAACTGCTTGTGACAACAATCCCAAACTATTTCTACATTGACCCCACCTTCAACGAACCGCCGCTACATTATTATCTAGTTTTACATAGTTAGCCGATTACTTACTAAACCACCTGGTTAACGAACTAGTACATTTTGTCCTCGGCTAGCTGTGGCTTGGTTTTGCCGTCCTGTCATCCCACCCGAGAATACTATACAGATTTCTACATCTCCTAGTATCCCAAGCCTACCGCCCTCGCCTGGGCTTTAACATCCTAATGTTACGTGTGCCCCTAGCGGCTGCAGAAGAAAGAGGAAGCGAATCCCATGTCTGCTCTTTTCTGTGAGCGCATGTGACCTGTCCTAATCCATGTCATGTTGCTAGATTTGCAAACGCAGCAGCAACAAAACCAGACCATTTAAAACTCCTTTATTTCAATGAATGGATCTCGTGGGCTCTACATGTTGTTACAAATTACCACTTAAGTTGCATCACAGAGAAGAAAAAGACTGAAGCAAAAGTGTGAAATCATGACTCCCATCCAGAGTATTATTCTTTTAACCTTTAAGGAGGACATGTTGTTTGCACACAATTGTATGTAAAATGCCATATAATGCAAACAAAAATTTAAATTTTATGACACAACAAACAACAACAAAATAAAGCAACAAAAAAAATCATGTCTTCTTTCTGCAAGGATGGCTCACTTCTTTCTTCCACCTCTCTCCTTCAGTGCCAGATGAATGATCGAACCGTTGCTCATGTTGTAGTAAGCCAGCGAGTTGGAATCCTTGATGAAAATACCCTGAAAAGAAACAAAAAAAACCCAAAACAACATCAACAACAACAAATTAATAAATCAGCACTTTATATTAATTCATGCAGATGAGATCAGACATTCCAACAAAGCCATGAGCAAATTTTTACCTCATACTGCAACTTCTGTTTTCCTGCCGGCATGCCTGTAGCTTCATGGATTTTGACTTTAATGACAGACACCTGCGGAGACATTACATTTGCACATCAATAAGAATGCTGTGTGTGAAACCACTAAACCTTAAAGAGAGAAAACAAACCACATGTTGCATACCTGGTCTGTGACTGGGACAGTGAAATTCAGCACCTGGCCATTCAGTTTCCATTCACTCTTGTCCTGCATGTTAGGAACCTGTACTTTAACAGCCACTGGACCCTAGAGACAGGAAAAAGATTCAGGCACAAAAACAGATGAAACTACATATCCATGTTCTACTAAGTAGGTTAGCTGTGTTTATTTTCAACTACCACAGCTGGAAACAAAGCCCTATATTCAAAGGAGCTTGCAAAGAAAAGCATCTGGACTTCTTTAAGTTATTTGAAGTTTCTTTGACTACGATGACCTGGATGACTGAGAACCTTCACAGACACAAAGCCCTATATTACTACCATGTGCACAAAAAGAACTTTTCTTTTTTGCATATCTGAGAATCTTTAAATGAATCTGATGGTCACACAAAGTCCCAATCCAGTCTACTGAACCATGAGAGTGATGTGGTAGCACTGGTAAATTATAAATGTAATGTAACACCTTTTCCACACTTTATTGATCCAACAAACCTTGTTTCTACGAAGGAACTCCTCCTCCGGAATCAGGTTATCCTCAGTCTTCATCTTCTTACTGACAGGCTCATCCTCGTGAGGTGGGGGTGGGTGGATAGGTGGTGCTGGAGCAGCACTTGGTGGCTGTGGCACAGGTGGAGCAGGAACAAATGCTAGAGGAAGGGGAAAAAAATAAGGTTATTTGAATTTAAATATAAAAATAAGGAAGGCTGTGTATAAAAGGTTTGGTTACCAAATTACTCCAAGACAAGTATTATTTTCCCTAACAATGGTCATCTAGTTGTTTCTCATAAGCGCTTTAACCTTATAGAGTTGACGGATGCACAGGCATGTCCAGAACACATGATTGATGTAAGATACTATAGCAGCTATAGTATCTTACATCTATAGCTATAGTAGCTTACATGAGTCATGTGATTACGTGCAGACTTTAAACTATGTTCCAGTTTTTAAATTGTCTTGATAAGTATGATTTTATTTGACCTACGATCAATAATTTATGGTATGCTTTTGCTTGAAAATGTGATATTCTAAGAAAAGTGATTGCAAAAAAAAAAAAAATTAAAATTAAAATACAAAAAAACAAAAAAAACAACACCCTACTGGTGGAAAAATATAACACATCAACCAATCAGAAAATTATATGGAACACGTGGCATTTGATTGCTGAGGAGAAGTTGTGGGAACAATGGCAAAAAAAAAAAAAAAGAACAGCGACACCGATAGCAAGATTTGAGAATTGCAAGCCTGCCTGGAGTTTAAAGGTAGTGTGTAGTCAGGAATAATCAGTGTTGCATCTTATTGTGACACCTGATTGTTTTGTAATTTGTTGTTCCAAAACAATGCCTGAGCCATTACCTGCATTTTATCTAATTCAAGAGCAAAATCAAAAGTAGTAAAAAACAGCCAACTATACCCTTGACCCTAGGGGGTTAACTTACGGGCTGGAACAACCATGGGAGGTGGTCTGGGAGCCATGATGTGAGGCGCAGAAGGCGGCATGGGAACCACGTTAATGCGGGGAGCAGGAATCATGGGCGGCATTGGGGTAATAACTTGTCCTGGTGCAAGACGCACCACAGGAGCCACAGGTGGTCTCGGAATTACAGGTACAGCAGACAAGAGAGTGGTGCGTACTGGTGGTGCCACCTGTTACATAACCACATTACGTGTTAAGAAGGTACATATGTACAACAAAAAGCATTCAAATGTATACAATTACAATTTTAACTTACAGAGGGTGGGCGAGGCACCGCTGTGACAGGGGGACTGGGTTTAGGCAAACTGGGTGCAGAGGAGGGGATGGGTGGCTGGTGATGAATTTCACTTGGCTTGCTAGGGCCAATTTTCTCTTTAGTGTCATCTTCTCCCACCAGTCCTTTGGCCTTGTGAATGGCTTCTATCTGCTCTTGCAGGGTGATGTTGGCCTGCGCTGCCTGCTGTGTACGAGCCATGCTTCCAGAGTGGCCATCCCAGGTAACCTGAAATGCACAAGAATACAATTATTATTGTTATTATTATTGTTAAAGACAGTTTTATAAAAACTGCAGTTACTCAGTGTTTTTACCTTCTCCTCTGGCTTTTGGATTTCTTCTTCCCCAATCTTTTTACCGATGGCCGTCTCTTCCACACCGAAGATATCAGTACGCCTCTCAGCCAGCTGTTTCAAGCTGCTCTCGATATCCAAACCAGGAGCATAAACTTCATCCTCAGTCTGTCTGTCTCTAATGCTGCGGTCTCTTTGCTCCAGCCAGCGTGGATCTAGCAGACCGATACGCATGTGCTCTGGCATCTTACTGGCCGGGATCTTCTCACCGGTAATGGGAGAGATGAGGTACTCGTCTGGAACTGCAACTGAGGGCTGAGGCTTGGATGCTGTAATGAAAAGGTAACATTAGTTAAAAAAACAAAAACAAACAAATTGTACAAAGTAAAAACTTGCTCATATAACGAACAGTGTTACCTTTGGGGTCGTAGTCTTTGCGAATGATAACCTGATCTGGAGTTGGAGGCAGTGGAGGTGGCATGGGGGTGTCCGGTGGCAGTGGAGCCTTCATGCCATCATCCTCATCATCAGATCCCTAAAGAAAGCAGCAGGGGATGAATCAATTTTGTTACCAGATCTTAAAGTTTTCTTCTTTTTCTTTCTCCAAGCAGTGGGTTAGAAAAGATGTCATTTAATTAAAAGAAAAACATATAGTATCAAATCTATAACTGGTCAGACACGAACAGCTTGCAATCCGCAGTAATTAATTACTCCATCATTTCTAACCTCATCCATGTCCTGCACTTGTGTGTCTTGATCAGGCTGTGAAGGCTGGCCTTCACCCCTATCCTCCCGCTCATCATCTTCACCATCGCTCTCCACTTCCATCTCTACCTCCTCACTCTCTCCAAACTTCTCATAGCGCTCCTGGATCAGGATGCGAGCGCCGAGCTCCTCTGGTGTGGTAGGTGGTGGGAAGTGGCCTAAGGAATTTGAGATGCCAATAAAGATTAAATGATTGTACCAATATTTACAGGTAGGGGTTACTATTTAAAGATGTAGTTACTGTGGTTATAATTACCTTGTTCATTAGGCTGGAAATCCACTGTTTCGACCACTACAAAGTCATGCCAGTCAATTTGGGCATATGCAACTCGTTCTTTCTCCCTTTCCTCCTCCTCCTTCTTCCTCTCGCGCTCCTGGTACTTTGCCCATTCAACACGGTACCTTACCTGATGGTTGGACAACAGGACATATTACAACCATGGGAAAGAGCAAATGTAAACGGTTATTTTGAGAAGCAGTCACTGTTAAAACAGAATACCTGGTCCATAACCTCTTTTGGGTTCTCGGCTTCCTTCTTGAGTTTGGTCAGTAAGCCTTTGGGAGGGATCAGAATCTAAAGGATTAAAGTCGAGAATCAATATAATGCTTAGAAAGTTTAGAATCACCACTTGAACACACCCAGAGAAGCCCAATCTGTTAAGTCACCTTAGTATACTGCTCCACCAGCTTGGTAAAGTAATTGAAAAGGCTGTGCTGTGGTCGCAAAAAGTCAAACTGGTAGTTCCTCTGTTCCTTCTGCATGAGCTGAGTGAGAAACTGGCGCCCATTGCGAGCAACAAACTGGGCAGTGAGCTTGACAACGTCCAAGTCAAATGCTGAGATTGATGGAGGGTCTGCAATGAACTCAAACTCAGGGGGAGGTTCTTTGGGGACCACTGTCTCCTGAATCACCTGTGACTGAACCTAAAAAACATGTAAAATATTAGTCAGGGTCAAAGACTACCAGTTTTATTTTTTTTTTATTAAAAAAATAAAATAAAGTGAAAAGTGAAGTTCAATGACTTACTTTCTGAGGAAGCTGCTGGGACTGTTGCATAGCCTGCTGCATAACTTTGGGCACAGCTGCAGATGGCTCTTGAGCTTTCCCCTCCTTAAATTCATTGACTTTGTGGCGATAGTAGGCATGGTAGGGGTCATTCGGGTTGAGGAAGTTAAACTTTGGATTGTTGATCTCATTCTGACGGATTCTTGCCTCAAATTCAGGCCCGTTCCTGTGAATTGGCAAGAATTAGTTATGCCATATACATGAAATCCAGTTACCATTACATATTTAAAAAGCTGCCACATATAAAATAACCAACCTTGCAACAAAGCTGGCTGTCTTGTCAACAATGTTTCGGACCTCGGGAGGTGGATAAATGATACCAACAATAGGTTTTGTGGCTGGCGTTTCTTCTGCTGTTGAATCATTCTGTTGTCGCAAAAGCACATTTGTTAGTTAGAATAAACCAAAGAAGGGTTAGATGGATAAATAAAAGAATAAGGTAAAAACAACAACAACAGTGGACCACTTAACACCCACCCGATGTTAAAGCTTTTCCAACTACACCAAGTAATATTTCCCCTGCTCTACTACAATTTCCAACACTCAAAGCATAGACAACATTTTGAAAAACTTTCGCTGTAGTAGTCCACACCATACGGTAAAAACTACCAAGTGCTCTGATGAAAGTAGGTCGGTGAATTTTCTACGTGAAAAATGTGGTTCTGTATAAAACACATTGATCCAAATATCCGTTTTCAATTTAGCAAGTAAGCTAACTACAGCTAACTACGGGCTAGCAAGGTTTAATGCTGCGACCTCAAACATTTAGCGAAAGAAAAAGAAATAGACGCTAGCTGTTCGCTAAATTCAAAAATCACAGAGACAGTTCAAAGTATAGAAAGACAAAAATTAACCCAGTTCACAAGTTAGCCGAAAAAAAGCAAGCAGTATGTAGGCTACACTGCTGGCATTAGCTAACTAGCAGCGGTACCCTTACCTTGTTGTTAGCCTCCGGCTGAACGATTTGAACAGGCCCAGGCGGCATGGCTGCGACTTATTGTAAAACTGGAAGTTACCTGCAAACACAAAACCAACAAGAAAATATACGTATTTTAAACACTCCTTTTTAGCACATGCTATGTCAACAATAAAGGCTACAGCTAAAAGCTTAAAATTTGCCGTGGTTAAACACACTTACTACGTCGCGCTTTCGTTGACCCAATGGAGATGAATTACTTCCGGAAATAAACCGCACAGCATTGTGGAACTTGGAGTACTTTTTTTGGACGTTGCCAAGGAGATGTGGTATCAACAGACTGCACAGTGTTTTTCAGAGCTGTGTCATTTATAAAATAGTTTGTCAGACATGAGTCAGTTGCTGGGTAGTCAGGACTGTATTGAAAGCCTCCGAAAAGACCTGGTTGACCTTCAGGGAGCGATTCTGGACGTGTTTTCTCGAACCGGACCGCTTCGCTTTTCTTCCTGGAAGTTCCCGGACAAGCACTCCTGTAATCTAGACATGGTAGCTCTGCTAGAGCAGTATGACTTTGTGGATGGGGAAGATGCGTTCAATCAGCACTCCCACATTGTTTTACTGGAGTTGGTGGTTGACAGGTAATACATAACAATGACAATTTTATTATATAGCACATTTACATGAAAGCTCAATGTGCCTAACACAGAAAATTAAGAAACATAAAAATGTTAGATGTTTTAATATTGTTATTATTATTACATGCACAGTGAAAATAAACGTGGTTTACACTGTACAATGAAATTCTTATTTTGCCAGTGTCCCTGTTGTGCCCATGCCTTGTGGATGTTTGCAAACAGACCTGTACAAATTAGTGCAGTAGCAGATAATGATAGTACAGTAACAGCCAACAGTAGTGTTGGTGTGGGAGAGGGGCAGTGCTGATTGTCTCATTCAGGAGTCCGATGGCCAACAGCTAGAAGCTACAGAGAGTATTAGTGCTTGATTTCAGTGTAGTGATGTGAAGGATGCTCCTGTGATGCACTGTGCAGTTTTTATCCCACATTGGAGATCCTTCCTGTCAGTGCAGCTTCCAGTACCACTCTGTAACTGAGGTGGTGATGATGCACTCAACTGTATGTTGAGTTGCAAAAAAAAAAAAAAAAAAATGCTGAGGATTTTAGTCGACATGCCAGACTTTCTCAGCCATCTTAGGAAGTACAGTCTTTACTGTGATTTCTTGAGAAACTTCTGGATGTTGTGAGATCTTCCCTAATGTGTGTCCCTTGGAATTTAAAGGTTTTCACCCTCTCTACCTGTCTCACAGATGTCTGCTGTGTGTATGCTGCTTTATCCTTCTTTTCACATAAAAA